ATGGTGCTGATGGAAGTGCTGAGACTCACCTGCAGACCCTGGGCGCCGGTCCCCGGGGGCCCTGGCTCGCCCTAGGGAGATGACAGACGCCGGTTACTGGAGCTGCCCCAGCCTTCAGCAAGCCCCCTAGGACACAACCCGCTTGTGCCCTCACTCACCTGCAGCCCCTTCAGACCAGGCGGCCCCTGAATCCCAGGGAGTCCAGGGTTCCCCTGGAAAACACCCCCCAGAGAAACGTTAGCTCAGCTCTTCCAGCAAGCGTCTCTGACCGGGGTGTCGCCGGGGCGGGGGGCACTCACGGGGCTCCCTGGCTGGCCCGCGCCCGGCGGGCCACGGTCCCCTTTGGCTCCGGGTTTTCCTGGCACGCCGACAACATCCAAGAACTCCCCCTGGAGGGTGGGGCAGACGTCACAGGCATCTCCCTGCACCGGAGAGGGGAGAAATCGGTGCGGGTCGCTACATAGGAAATGGAGACCAGCGCTGGGGAGGGAGGCAGGGAGGCACCACCTCCCCTCGCCCCGGTGCCGTCGCTCCTCAGACTAGGGCGGAGGGGGGTTGAACTTGCTACCCTCCGCTTCAGAAAGCGCCATGCCTCTGCCTGGTACTGATGCCGCACGGGCAGGACCGCCAGGGGCAGCATGTCGCGCCTCCTCCCCCCCCCGCTCCGGCGACGGCCAAGGAGGCGTGTGGCTCTCAACGGGCACCGCCGGGAGCAGAGACCCTGGCCCCGCAAGGCAGCGCCAGCCCTCGAGAAGGCAAAAACTGGGCAGAGGCGTGGTCCCCGGCTGCACTGGCCAGGGGGCACTCACCTTTTCACCCTTGGGCCCTGCCGGCCCCTTGATGCCGGGGTCCCCCGAAAGGCCTGGCAGCCCCACTGGGCCCGGTGTGCCAGGGTCGCCCGTGTTTCCTGCATCGCCCTGGAGACAAGAGCCGCTGTGACCCAGGGGATCCCATGATTCCCGGCCCCCTGCCCCCCCAGGTCTCTGCCCCATGCTCTCTGGAGGGCTGGGTGCCAGGAGCTAGGAAGCAGGGACTGACGGCCTCTCCAGTGCCCCCGCCCTGCCACACACTGCACGGCGGGCCACACCACTGGGGCTGGGCGCAAGTGCTCCACAGGCAGGCCTGAGCCAGCAGCCCCATCGAGCGAGCCCCCAAGGAGCTGCATTCTCAGGCCAGCCCGGGCCAAAGGAAGCCTCCACGGAATCAGCTCTGCTGCTCCGGGGGCCGGGCTGGGGGAGCCCCCTCTGGTCTAGAAAGCCCCCTCCCATCACCGGCAGCCCGCCCCACCTCGGCCCACTGCTCACCTTCTGTCCCTTCAGGCCGGGCTCCCCGGGTTTGCCCTGGGGAACAAAACGCACACGGGAGGAAGAAAGAAAGCAGTCAGGTCGGGAGGCTCCAGCCAGCTCTCCCCAGCGCCCCCCACTGCTGGGCACTGACCCCCCCTTCACAGGGAGATCTGGGGCCCCCCACTGCTGGGCACTGACCCCCCCTTCACAGGGAGATCTGGGGCCCCCCACTGCTGGGCACTGACCCCCCTTCACAGGGAGATCTGGGGCCCCCCACTCCTGGGGCACTGACCCCCCTTCACAGGGAGA